ACACTCCTCTGCAGCCGGCGCAGACCCCTCCCGGCCGGATCCGAGCTGCTCCTGGCCTGTGGGGCCCCCACCCCAGGGCCCCGCCACTGTCTGGGTCCCAAGCTCACTCGGGGGGCTCTTCTTCTCGCTCACGGGGCCTCCCCAAGCAAGTACAAGCTCCGCGGGGCGCCCCTCCCTCAGGCCGGCCCGGGGGCTCCTGGGGCTCCTGGGGCGAGGCCCTGACTCGCCAGCCACACCCGCGGGCGGGAAGGGCCGGGCGGCCGGGCTGGCTGCTCCGCGTCGTACCACATCGGAACTCGTCCTCCCCGTCCTTGCAGTGGAAGACCCCGTCGCACCGGGCCGTCAGGTCGATGCACTTGAAAGACGACCGGCACCGGTACTTCCCCGAGCAGTCGAAGTGGACTGAGGGCCGGAGGGGGCGAGCGTTAGCAGAGGCCCCGACCCGGGCAGCGCCCGCCGCTGGCCCCCTGCCACGGGGCCCGGCCGGCCGTCAGCAGCCGAGCCTGCGTTGAAACGCGCCTCTGTCTCCCAGCCCAGTTTCTGTTCCAAATTCCAGGGGGTGGGGCTGCCGCACCCCACTTGGCCCCGCTACATGGCCTTGAGCCACGACCAAGATGAATTTAGACGCCGGAGGGCTCAAGGTCAAGAGAGAGAGCAGGACTGTGGCGGACCAGCAGAGCCGGCCGAGCGAGGTGGCCTGGCTGAGGGCTCTCACCCCAATCTGTCTCCCCCCTGCTGTCTCTGACTCTGGGCAACAAGCGAAGGCGCCGTGGGCCACACGGCCGAGCGGGTGGGGACTTAAACGGGCCTGCGATCGGTCATTTGAAAGAGAAATGGGAAACTGTTCCCTATCAGAGACTCAGAGACCGTCCACACGACGCGCTTTCTCAGAAGCCACAGGCACCGTCTTTGAAAAAGAGCAGACGTGCCTGGCCTGGCATGAGTGGCCTCCTTGTCTCGTCCACCCAGCCCCGCTCCCCGCTCCTGCCCTCGGGATTCTATTTCACCCGCTGCCTTTGGAGACTTCTAACTGGGCAGCTTCTGTGGTGACAAAGCCCCGAGCCTGGCCAACGGCCCCTTCTGGGCCCCAAGTTGGCTTTCCATTCACGCAGGTAAATGAAATTCAAAGTCGGCCGACTCAGGAGATGCTCACCTCCGGTACAGTTAAGGCTGGGGGCTCATGAAAGTTTAAGTGCCTGGAGAGGCCGTGGAGAGCCTACTAAATAATGAATCGTACTCACCGCCCAGACCGATGGCCAGAGCTAAGATCAGGGCGATGACCCCGATGACGATGACTGGGAAGAACTTCAGCGGCAGCAGCGACAGGATCTGGGCAGCCACCGCGTCTGCATCTGAAAAGCAGAAGCCGCAGGGCAGAGCAAGAAGCCACAGCACGGCAAACTTCGACAAAGAGGAGCTTAAGATTCGGCTGCTCCAGCCCAAAGGAAGTCGTCTTCATCTAGAGAAAGGGCACCGACCAGGGGCGCGTTCTCCGGAAGTTCAGCCCCGCCCTCTCTGATGCTGGCCCATGTCTGTCCATCCTGAGTTCGGGGAGCATGGTGTCATGTGTTGAATGGCATCCCCCAAAAAGATGTGTTGAAGTTCTCACCACTAGACCCGCAGACTGTCACCTGATTTAGAAATAGCGTGTTTACCGAGGTGATGAAGTTCCAGCGTAGGCCCTGATGCGACGGGTCCTCACACAAAGGGGGAACGTGGACACAGAGACAGACACACAGAGAAAGAATGTGACATGAAGAGACACAGGGAGAGGCCGGGTGACGATGACGGCAGAGACGCGGGTGACGCATCTACAGGCCAAGGAACGCCAAAGATCGCCGGCAAACCACCAGGAGCCAGGGCGAGTCACGGATGGGTCCCCTGCAGATTTCAGAGGGAGCAGGGCCCTGTCCACACCCTGGTTTCGGACTTCTGGCCTCCGGAATGGTGACCTCTGCTGTTTTAAGCTACCTCGTTGTGGCACTTCGTCTCCGTGGGCCCAGGAAGCTAACAAAGAAAGGAGACACCAGCTCACGTGGACGTTTCCAACAGAAGCCAGCAACACGTCGGATGGGGCACTTGGAGGAGAGGGAGAGCTGGGACCTCTGAAGGGGTCACCAGGTGACATAGCCGACTGTGTTCCATGAGTCTCGTGCACAGAGACACCGATGGCCTCGGTTCCATCTTTCAGAAGATGTTGGCAGAGCAAACAGCCTTAGAAGACAGAGATAGTGTCTTGTTCCAGAGCAAGGGGCAGGTTTATTTACTGTTCGACTTAATAAATATAATGTCTTCCTTTGGGGAAAATTTTGTACAGGTCTGCTCGTGGCCCACTATTAAGATTCCGGTTTCCCTTAGCTGGGGGTTCCTCGGCTGTAATGCAGATCTGCTGTGTGTGCAACGCACACCTGGGCTGCCACAGGTCACCTCCACGGGATCTGGCGGGCAAGGGTAACTGACGCGAACAGGGTCTGCGTGGCTGTCATGCTGTGAGCAACAACGTCCTTTCTGTCTGACCGGGAGTCTCGTGTCTTCTGCCGGCACCCATGGAACCGTGGCAGGCGGACTCGCTAGCTCGTGAGGAGGCTGGAGCCACAGACCCTTCCCAGTTTTCAAATGAAGAACCAGGGAGACAGGAAAAGCATTCAAATACCCAAAAGTACAACCAGGAGAATTTCCGTCAGCACCCTTCGCTCTTCAAAGAACGGGCCATTTCATGCAAATTATCTCATCGATCCTGAAAAAACATCTATGCCTATGTTGTTTTCACTTAAAATTAGGAAGGTGGGGATGGACAGAGGGGAGGACGCCTTCCAAGAGTCACAGCATCACTCGGGACAGAGACTGCCCCACCTCGCTCCGCTCGGGCTCCGAGGTTTTGAGCAGAGACCTTCCCAGGGAAGAACGAGAAGGACCTGTCCCTCCACCTTTCTAAGCCCACAACGTCGCCCTCTGGGAAGAGGCGGAATGGGAGGGA